GAGAGCGGACCTCTGTCCTCCACAAAATTACCCACCTATGGGGTTAGTCTGAACTGCCTGAATCGCCTCCTCCTCCCACCGCCCCAAAAGATAAGCGGGGCGGCTCCCGTCGTAGAGCCTGTGCACTCCGAAGCGGTGCAGCACTCTCCTGGGCGGCGGGCCTTGCCTCCGCTGGGACGGGCGGTGGGGGAGGGGCGAGGGAGGGGCCCCCTGGCGCTTCACCCTCGCACGAACGACCGACGTGAGACGACACCACCCTCTCACGATCACGCGCCGCCATAGCCTCCACTACGGCTTGGGGGGCCCCTCCCTCCTGGGATATATACCCTTGCGAATTCGAGTGAGGTTCTCGGTCCCCTTGGGGGTCAAACCCTCACAACGCTTGCTGATATGCCTACCATCTACCGTAGCGTAACGACCACACTTGCTGCAGGCATGCATGAACCACTTGTCCACATAAAACATAGCATGAGTTTCGTGAAACTCAAAGGCCCCCGCCACGAAACTTCTGGGGGCCTGAATCACATCTGGGGGCATCTGTCCCTCTGGGATGGCCCTGCCTGCACAAGGGGTGGCCGAGAACTTGAGCAGTCGAGAGCCTGGCACCACCTGATCACACACCGCACACCTCCAACCCGTGCCCGACTTCTCAAGGCGGTGGGCCGACTCTCGAACTGCTACCGCACACTTGTTAGCTGGGGGTCGCTTCGCAACCTCCTGCCTTCCATTCTTCGCTTGGACTTCTGCACTCGCTGAGTCGGCCAACGCTCGTCTCGCGCGCCGCCGCACTAAACTGGCAATGGCATCAATTCTATCTGTCTGCGGGTTCTCCCCAACCAAACCGAACTCCCAAGCCAGCTCCGCCCCCTCTCCCGCCCATATATCAGCTACCGCATTAACAACCGCAGTCTCTAACTGCAGCTCGGTAGTCAGCAGCTCAGGGGATTCATCCGTGTGAGAGGGTGTCCACTGCACTTCGACAGTGGCGGTATCTGGCCTAGAACTCCAGGACACGCGGGCCCTGGTCCACAAATCTTCATTAGCCCCAGTCGGGCTCGGGTTCTCCATTTTAAAACGCCACTTCTTAGCGATCGACAAGTGGTCAGTAACGAAAACGAACGGCCCAGGGATCTCTTCTAACGCTAAACAAAACGCCTGGATCTCAGAGCGCGGGACGGTTTGGCGGGCTCCGAGCAGGGGACGGGCCAACGCCGCCTGGACAATCCATTCGCCCTGGGACCACCTCAGGGAGCAGATGGAAGAGCCGCATCTCCTTCGTCTGGGGTCGTCCGAAAATCGCCCCCCCCGAGCCGTCGCCGTAAACCTTTTAAGCCCCGTCGCTTCCTCGAGAGGCCTCAAAGTCCCCCTCCCCGCCCAGCCTAAGCTCCCGCCCCTCCAGCCGCCCATCGTCAAAGAGGGGGTGAGTGAGGCGAGTAGGGGGGAGACCACGGAGCCATAAAGCTGGCTCAGCTTCTGCTTGTGCTAAAGCCGCAACTACCAAAGGCTCAGTTTTGCTATAATCGCTGTGATCAGTGTTCCTGGAACATTCCCATATTCTATGCTTCAAGCTCTCAGGGGCTTGCTTACATCTCGGGCAACCGACTGTTACTTCGTATCCTTTTTCCCTGCAGCGGACTCTCGGCCACTGGCCGCCAGCGACCACCGTCACGTTGGGCGCCAGCTGATCTAGCATCCCCTTGCGCTCGAACCTGCGCTGCTCCATTACTATGGGCCACAGGTCTCCGCCCTCCTGCAAGTTGTCACCAAACTCGTGCTTGGCAGCCTCCGTCCATAGGTCCCTGCGTAGGTCGCCCTCCAGGTCGTCCAGGAGCTCCTGGACGCAGCCCGTGGCCTCGAACTTGCCGTCCTCGGAGGTCGGCAGCTCCCACATCTCCAACTCATCAGGTCCAGGTCGATGCCATTGAGTGGCTGTCGAGGGTGTCCATCCAGCATCCATTAGCGTTGCCATCAGAGCTCCTGTGGGGCCCCGTACAGCTCGCCATCTCTTGTCGCCATATCTGTGGAGACGCGCCTTGATGAACGGCCATGCTTTCGCAACTCGTCGATGGATGTGGGGAAACCTCTGCCACAGGCCTATCCATTCTCGTACCACACCCAGTCTGAGATCAACTGCGGGGTCTCTCAGGCCCAGCTCCATGCCCAGCGTGGTCGTCAGACATCGACCTCCTGCACTGCCTCCTGCCACTTTGCCCGCCTGCCTTCTCAGCACGGTGATCGCCTGCTTGGACATGCCGTGCGTCTGCTGCCCATAGATCGCCTGCGGCAGTGCGCCCACGTTATAGAGGCCCTTGGACTCATGCTTCAGCGCAGCGATCTTCCTCAGCTTCACGATCTTCGCGAACCTCCTCCTCGCCTTGAGCTGCCGCTGCTTACTCTTTGCTGCTACCCGCTTACGTCCTGCAGCAGTGTCCAGGCCCAGGTCCGTCGCCACGCCGCTGGCCTTAGCAGGTATGCCACGTATTCGTAATCGCTTAGCTGTCTTCCGAGCCTCCTTCAAGTCTGAGCCTATCACCGTGGTCTTATTCGATATGGTCATACGTTGTTCCACCAATCCAGTGCATATATCCGTCGACACCTCCACCAGCTGCTCAGCCACCGTCTGTGAACTGCCCTCGCATCTTGCTACCGTGTCGTCCACGAACGTCCACAATCCTGCTGTTGGGTGTCTTCGATGCGCCAACTCAAGCACTGGATGAAGAAAAAGCTTCGCTAGAGTTACTCCTCTCGCGGATCCTGCCACCGGTGATCTGGTAGGCCAGATGGCCTCGCTGATGACAGATCGCTCCTGCAAGTATCTGGGTCCAAGAAAGATCATCGCTTCCAATCCGACTGCCACCGCAGGGAATCCTGCCGCACACGCAATCTGCAGCAAGATGACCAGCGAGACCGTGTCGTAGAACTTTTCTATATCCAACAACAATGTCATGGCCGAGGCGCCGATCTCGATGCCTGTCTCGTCCAAGATCGACCGAAGGAGTCCTGCCCTGAGCGCCGAGCTC